CCACTCACCTCAGCCTCCCAAGGTGCGGGATTACAGGCTGAGCCACCGAGCCCGGCTCCCACTAATTTTTTTGATTTATTATAGAGACACGATCCTGCCATGTTGCCAAGACTGGTCTTGAAATCATTGACTCAGGCAGTCTTCTGTCTTCGACCTCCCAAAGTGCTGGGATTATTGGTGTGAGCCACTGTGCCTGCCCAGACAGAATGATTTTGGCACTTCAGAAAAGTAACCCTTTCTAGGCATGGTGGCTCACACCTGTAATCCCAGCACTTTGGGTGATGGAGACAAGAGGATTGCCTGAGCCTATGATTTCAAGATCCAGCCTTGGCAACATGGCAGGATCTCGTCTATAATAAATTAAAGAAAACTAGATGGATATGGTAGTACATGCCTGTTTTTCCAGTCACTTGGAAGACTGAGGTGGAAGGGTCTCCTGAGCCCAGCAGGTTGAGTCTGCGGTGACCATGAGCATGTCACTGCACTCCAGCCTGGGTGACAGAGCAAGATTCCAATTCAAAAAAATCCAAAAACTGAAAAAAACCTTGGCCAGGTGTAGTGGGTCATGCCTGCAATGCCTGTAATCCCAGCACTTTGGAAGACTGAGGTAGCAAGATCACCTGAGGGCAGGAGTTTGAGAACAGTCTGGTCAGCATAGTGAGACCTCATCACCACAAAAAACAAAAAGCAAAAAAAACCAAGTTTAACCCTTTCAGCTGTCTACTTCATTGTCATTAAATGTTAAGTATTTTCATACTGTTACACAACTATTGTCACCAACCATGTTAAAATCTTTCTTTTTGCCCATTTTAAAACTTTTTTCAATTTTAAAAAAATTTTTTGAGTCAGAGTCTCAGTCTTTTGCCCAGGCTTAAGTACAGTGGCACACTTATGACCACCGCAGCCTCAACCTGCTGGACTCAGTCGATCCTTCCACCTCAGCCTTCCAAGTAGCTGGAACTACAGGCACGCACCACCACGCCTGGCTAATTTTTATTTATTTATTGTACAGATTATGTCTTGTCATGTTGTCTAGGCTCGTCTTCAACCCCTGAACTCAGACAATCCTTTCGCCTTCATCTCCCAATGTTCTGGGATTATAGGTGTGTACCATCATGCCTGGCTCTTTTTTTTTTTTGAGTAGGGGTCTTCCACTGTTGTCCAGGTTGGAATGCAGTAGCCCCATCATAGCTCACTGCATCTTAGACTTCCTGGACTCAAGCAATCCTTTCACCGCAGCATCCTGAGCAGCTAGGACTACAGGTGTGCACAACATGCCTGACTAATTTTAATTTTTGATTTTTTTGTAGAGAGGAGGTCTCACTATGTTGTCCAGGGTGGTGTTGAGCTCCGCGGCTCAAGCAACCCTCCTGTCTTGGTGACCTCCCAACATGTTGGAATTACAGGTTGAGCCACTGAACCTGGTGCTAACTCTTAAAAATAAAAAGCAGTTTAAGTGGCATTTTTAGTATACTCATAATGTTGCATAACTGCCACCTATATCTATTTCCAAATCATTTTATGTCTTTTTTTTATATTAAAAAATTTTTTTCCTGGGCATAATGTCTCACACCTATAATCCCAGCCCGTTTTGGAGGCTGAGGTGAAAGGTTTGCCTGAGCCCACAAGTTCAAAAACGGCCTGGGCAATTTGGTGAGACCTCATCTCTACAATAAATAAAAAAATTAGCCAGGCATGGTGATGTGTGCCTGTAGCTCCATCTACTTGGAAGACTATGACTGAATGATCTCCTGAGCCCAGCAGGTAGAGGCTGCAGTGGCCAGGAGCATGCCACTGCACTCCAGCCTGGGTGACAGAGTAAGACTTGAATTGAAAAAAAATTTATAGTGAAGGTATCTCGCTGGATTGCCCTGGCTAGTCTTGAAGTCTTCCTCAAGCCATCCTCCTGCCTTCACCTTCCAAAGTGCTGGGATTACAGATATGAGTCAGTGCACTTGGCCTCATTTCGTTTCACTTTTATTTTTTGAGTTGGAGTCTCACTCTGTTGCCCAGACTAGAGTGCAGTGGCCGCTCCCGGCCACCGCAGCCTCGACCTGCTGGGCTCCGGCGATCCTTCCGCCTCAGCCTTCCGATTAGCCGGAACTACAGGAGTGCGCTACCACACCCGTCTGATTGTTTGATTTATTGTAGAGATGAGGTCTCGCTGCCCAGGCGGGTCTCGAACCCAGGGGTTCAGGCAATCCACTCACCTCAGCCTCCCAAAGGCGCAGGATTACAGGCTGAGCCACCAAGCCTAGCTCATTTTTGTCTCTTTAAAGGGAAATGGCATACCCATTAAGCAGTCACTTCCTATACATCTGTTACTCCTGTCCCAGCAATCATCAGTATCTTTGTTTCTGTGTATTAGCCTCTTTTGGATATTTCATAGAAATGAAAACATAATATGTGACCTTTTGTGTCTGGTTTCTTTAATTCAGTATAATGATTTTGAGACTCATGCATGGAGCCTATGTCAGAACGTCTTTCTTTCTTATGGGTGAATAATATTGCATGTTATTTGTATGCCACAATTTTTTTCCATTCATCCATTGGTGAATATTTTTGTCTCACCTTTTGGTTTGTTTAAAGAATGCTAGCCAAAAAGCATTTGTGTACATAGATATATACAGTATCTTGTAACAATGTTTCAGTAAATAATGGACTGTATATATGATGGTGGTCCCACAATGTTATAATCCCTATTTTTAGTGTGCTTTTTCTAAGTTTAGATATTTTTAGATTTACAAATACTTATCATTTTATTTCATTTGTCTACAGTATTCAGTATAGTAACATACAGTGTAGGTTTGTAGTGGAGGAGCAATGGACCACTCCACATAGCCCAGGTATGGAGTAGGCTGTATGGTCTAGTACACAGAACCCTACGGTGTTCACACAACGCAGAAATTGCTGAATGACACATTTCTCAGAACACATTCCTATACGTAACTGTATTTTCTTTTCTTTCTTTTTTTTTTTTTTGAGTTGGAGTCTCACTCTGTCACCCAGGCTGGAGTGCGGTGGAACGCTCCCGGCCGCTGCAGACTTGACCTGCTGGGCTCCAGCAATCCTTCCGCCTCAGTGTTCCAAGTAGTCAGAACTACAGGAGCACGCTACCTCGCCCAGCTAATTTTTGATTTACTGTAGAGACGAGGTTTCGCCAAGTTGCCCAGGTGGGTCTTGAACCCGCGGGCTCAGGTAATCCACTCACCTCGGCCTACCAAAGTGCTGTGATTACAGGCTGAGCCACTAAGCCTGGCCCAGAACTGTATTTCTTTTCTTTTTTTTTTGAGTTGGAGTCTCACTCTGTCTCCCAGACTGAAGTGCAATGGCCATGCCCGGCCACCGCAGCCTCGACCTGTTGGGCTCCGGCGATCCTTCCGCCTCAGCCTTCCAAGTAGACGGAACTACAGGCATGCGCTACCATGCCCGGCTAATTTTTTGATTTATTGTAGAGATGAGGTCTCGCTGCCCAGGCGGGTCTCGAACCCGCGGGCTCAGGCAGTCCACTCACCTCAGCCTCCCAAAGATACGGGATTACAGGCTAAGCCACCGAGCCCGGCTCAGAACTGTATTTCATTTCTGTTTGGTATATACCTAGTAGTAGAATTTCTGGGTCGTATGACAGTTTTGTCTTTAACTTTTTTCCTCCCATGTAAACATGAGGTTTGGAGGGGAATCTTTACCTTTTTTTTGAGTTGAAGTCTCACTCTGTAACCCAGGCTGGAGTTCAGTGGCACGCTCACAGCTACTGCAGCCTTGACCTGCTGGGCTCAGACGATCCTTCCTCCTTAGCCTTCCAAGTAGCTGGAACTTCAGAAGCGCATCATCACGCCCAGCTAAGAATGTTTACCTTTTTGACAGACTACCACGTTTTCTCAGTGGCTGTACTACTTTCCATCCCCACTAGCAAAGTATCGGAGTTGCTATTTCTCCATATCTTTCCCAGTGTTTAATTCCAATTTTTGAAAAATGGAAATAAGTCATCCCAATAGATGTCAAAGGATATCTTATTGTGGTATTGATTTATATTTCCCCATTAACCAGTGATGTTGAGCATTTGTTTTGTGTGATTGTTGACCATTTGTGTATCTTCTTTGGGGAAGTTTCTGTTCAGGTCCTTTGCCCACTTTGAAATTGGATTTTCCTTTTTCTTGTTGAATTGTAAGTCATCTTTATGTATTTTGTATATTAAACCCTTACAAGTGATAGGATTTGCATGTGTTTTCTCCATTCTGTAGGTTCTTTTGATAGTCCTGAAAATTTCATTTGTTTCAAAAAAATTTTTATTTAGATGTCCAGTTTGTCTGTTTTTTCTTTTGTTGTGTATGTTTTTCATGTCAAATCTAAATATCGTTTGCCAGATTTGAGGTTAAGAACACTATCCCTCTTGTCTTGAAAGACCTTTATAGTTTTAGCTCTTCCATTTAAGCTACTGATACATTTTGAGTAACTTTTAATATGGAATGAGGTAGGAGCCAAACTTAATTTTTTTGCGTGATGTGATCCAGTTGTTTCAGTACCATTTGTTAAAAAGAATGTTATTTTTCACTGAATAAGAAGACTATTCCTTTTTCTAAAAATTCCACTGAAAAAAACTATTCTTTTTCCATTGACTTTTCTCTTTTCTTTGTCAAAAATTTATTGAACATATTTGTGAGGCTTTATTTCTGAATTCTCAGTTTTATTCCATCGGTTTATAGTTTTCTTAGGTTAGTACACACTGTTTGGATTACTGTAGGTTTGTAGTAAGTTTTGAATTCTGGATGTGTGTGTTCTTCAATTTTATTTTATTTTATTTTCAATACAGATGTTGCCTGGTTTACGATGGTTCTACTTAACGATTTTTCGACTTCATGATGGGCTTATCTGGACATAGTAAGTCGAGCGTCTGGACTTAATGGTTCGACTTACGATATTTTCGGCTTACAATGTGTTTATTGGGATGTAACCTCATTGTAAGTCGAGAAGTATCTGTATTGTTTGGCTGTTCAGGCTACGCACAGTTTCATGTGATTTTTCCTTTTTGATGGAGGTGCTGGGTGTTGAACCTGAGCTGAGTATGGAACCTGGGCCTCATGTGTGAAGTGCCATTTGCATGTTAGGCTTAGCTTTCCCATTTTCCTCATAGGCCATTGGAGTCTTCCTAAGAAGTACATAGGATGACTGGGCGTGGCAGCTCATGCTTGCAGTCCCAACATTGTGGGAGGCTGAGGTGGGAAGATTGTTTGAGCCCAGCCTGGACAGCACAGTGATACCTTGTCTTTTTTTTTTTTTTTAAAAAGAAGTATATTGAATCTATAGAATCACTTTGGTGGGTCCTATAAGTGCATGGAGGTGTAGTAGCATGATATTTATGCGTAGCTTGGTGCAAAGTGTAAATTGGGTGATGGGGGTGGTGGTAGTGGGCTCCAGTGTAGCGGTCAGGTCAGGAACCTCCTCTGTCATCATAGGACTTATTGCTTATTTACTTATTTGTATATTTATTTACGAGTCAGAGTCTTACTCTGTTGCCCAGGCTGGAATGCAGTGACCTCCTCGGCTCAGGTGATCATTCCTCCTCAGTCTTCTTAGTAACTTGGGACTATAGGTGTGCGCCACCACGCCGGTTACTTTTTTGGTTTATTGTAGAGACGAGGTCTTGCCATGTTGCCCAAGCTGGTCTCGAACCCCTGAACTCAGGCATTCTTTTCACCTCAGCCTCCCGAAGTGCTGGGATTATAAGTGTGAGTCACCGTGCCTGGCCTCAATTGTGTTTTCAAACCTTTTATGATTCGAATGAAATCTCATACAGAACATCAGTGTAAAGCGTGGGGGGAGGGCGGAATGGAGCTACTTTGATTTTGGGTATGGAGCAATCAGTTTTCCTTTCTATCCTCTTTTTTTTTTTTTTTTTTTTTTTTGGGTTGGAGTCTCACTCTGTCACCCAGACTGGAGTGCAGTGGCCACTCCTGGCCACCGCAGCCTCGACCTGCTTGGCTCCGGCGGTCCTTCTGCCTCCGCCTTCCAAGTAGCTGGAACTACAGCCGCGCGCTATCACGCCCGGATAGTTTTTGATTTATTGTAGAGATGAGGTTTCGCCAAGTTGCCTAGGTGGGTCTCGAACCTGCGTCTTTCTGTCCTCTTGAGGGGCTCTCCAGAGCACTAACTCTAAGGAACATGACTTGAAAACTAACTCTGAACTGGGTGTAGTGGCTCACGCTTTTTTTTTTTTGAGTTGGAGTCTCACTCTGTTGCCCAGACTGGAGTGTGGTGGCTGCTCCCGGCCAACGCAGCCTTGACCTGCTGGACTCCGGTGATCTTTCCGCTTAACCTTCCAAGTAGCTGGAACTACAGGTGCGCGCTACCATGCCCGGCTGAGTTTTGATTTATTGTAGAGATGAGGTCTCGCCAAGTTGCCCAGGTGGGTCTTGAACCCGTGGTCTCAGGCAATCCACTCACCTTGGCCTCCCAAAGTGCTGGGATTACTGGCTGAGCCATCGAGCCCAGCCGGCTCACGCTTTTAATCCAAGCATTATGGGAGTCCGAGGCGTTGGGATCATGTAAGTCCAGGAGTTTGATACCAGTCTGGGCAAGATAGCAAGACCCTACCTCTACAAAAAAAAATTATTATTATTATTATTATTATTTGAGTTGGAGTCTCGCTATGTTGCCCAGGCTGAAGTGCAGTGGCATGCTCACGGTTACTGTAGCCTAGACTTGCTGGACTCAGGTGATCCTTCCTTCTCACCTTTCCAAGTAGCTGGAACCATAGGTGCGTGCCACCATTCCCGGCTAATTTTTTGATTTATTGTAGAGATGAGGCCTCCCCAAGTATCCCATGCTGGTCTCAAACCCCTGGACTCAGGATGTCCTCTTACCTTGGCCTCCCAAAGTGCTGGAATTACAGGCTTGAGTCACTGCACCTGGCTCAAAAAATTAAAAAATAAAAATTAGCTGGACTTGTTAGTGTCCTAGCTTCTTGGGAGGATGAGACAGGTGAATTGCTTGAGCCCAGGAATTTGAGTTTGCAGTGAGCTGTGATTGTAGTACTGCACTCCAGAATGAACAACAGAGGGAAACTGTCTCCAAAAAAAGAAAAAAGAAGTGACTCACACCTGTAAACTCAGTACTTTGGGAGGCAGAGGCATTCAGATTACTTGAGCCCATGGGTTTGAGAGCAGTCTGGGCAACATACTGAGACCATGTCTCTACAAAAAGATAGAAAAAATTAGTTGGATATGATGGTGTGTGCGTACAGTCCCAGCTACTCAGTATGCTGAAGAGGTAGGATTACCTGAGTCCAGGAAGTTGAGGCTGAGCCTTGATAGTGCCACGGTCCTCTAGTCTAGGCGACAGAGTAAGACCCCAATTTAAGGAAAAAAAGTAAATAAATCAAAATAAAAAAGAAAACTACCTCTGCGATGGAGGCGAGTGGATTGCCTGAGCCCGCAGGTTTGTGACCAGCCTGAGCAACTTGGTGAGATCACATCTCTACAATAAATCAAAAATTAGCTGGGCGTGGTAGCACGCAACTGTAGTTCCGGCTACTTGGAAGGCTGAGGCGGAGGGATCGCTGGAGCCCAGCAGGTCGAGGCTGGCGTGGCCGTGAGTGTGCCACTGCACTCCAGCCTGGGTGAGAGAGTGAGACTCTGACTCAAAAAAAAAGATTAGCTAGATCCTCATGAATTAAAAACAGCAAGGACCCAGATAGTGTTTCTCTTTTCAGTCTCATATTTCACCATCCCCCTCCTCAAAAGCTTCACACCCAGCTGTCCAAACTTTGTCTTGCAGATTGTGCTCTTTACCCTTCTGTCCCCTCTGCCTAGAATTCCTTTCTCCTTCCACCATGTACTGCCCTAGGCTGGTCTAGGTGCCTCTCCACTAAATGCCTGTCTCTTAGCTCATCATTATATTGACTTGGCAGTTTATGTTTATTGATTCCACCAGTCTCTAAACTTCATGAGGACAAAGGGTCATTTACTTTTGAAACCCCATTATCTGGAATAAAATACACATTCAATAAAAAACATTTTAGCTGAACCACTCGCCTCCGTCTCCCAAGATGCTGGGATTACAGACTGAGCCACCTAGCCCGGCTGGGATCCAGCTGTTCTTATCTTGACCATCACCTCTGGATGTTTGTTCTGAGAAATTTGCTACTAGTATGAATCTAGCCAATTTCCTTTTCCTAGAACTTCCTTCTTGCCTCAGCAGCTAAAATATTTTACTTTCCTCATTTCTCTATTCCAAATAGATGGTGGGCTCATATTTAAAAAAGATTTTAATTTTAATTTAATAGAGACAGGTTCTCACTGTGTTGCCCAGGATGATCTTGCATTCCTGGACTCAAGCAACTCTCTTGCCTTGGCCTCTCAAAGTGCTGGGTTTACAGGTGTGTGCCACTATGCCTGGTTGTGGGCATTTTTGTTTCATTCTTAGATTATGTGCCTCTCAACATATTTATAAAATACCTATAAAGAAATACTATATTTCTTTCTTTTTTTTTTTTTTTTTGAGTTGAAGTCTCACTCGGTTGCCCAGGCTGGAGTGCAGTGGCATACTTATGGCCACCCCAAATGTTGACCTGCTGGGCTCCGGTGAGCTTTCCAAGTAACCGGAACTACAGGTGTGCATTACTATGCCCAGCGAATTTTTGATTTATTGTAGAGATGAGGTCTCACTACGTTGCCCTGGCTGGTGTCGAACTCACGGGCTCAGGCAATCCGTTCACCTTGGCCTCCCAAAGTGCTGGGTTTACAGGTCGAGCCACCTAGCCTGACATAAATTAAAGTTAATCCATCTGAACTTTAGATGTTGGCAAACATCTGAACATGTACTACTCTAGGGATACATATGTAAGACAATAGTCACATATCCCAAAGTGCCTAGTGGAACACAGGAGAAATTAAAAAATTTGTTGGGCAAGTTTAAATATAGTTTTAAAAAATGGCCGGGGTACTGTGGCTCGTGTTTATAATCCCAGCCTCTTTGGAAGGCTGAGGTGGGAAAATAACCTGAGCCCAGGAGTTTGAGGCCAGCCTGGGCAACATAGCAAGACAAAAAATCTGTACAAAAAAATCAACCAAGTGTGCTGGCAGTAGCTGTTTGGGAAGCTGAGATGGAAGAATTTCCTGAGTCCGGGAAGTCAAGACTGCAGGCAGTTTGCCGTGATTGTGCTATTGCACTCCAGGCTGTGTGGCAGAGTGAGACCCTGTCTCAAAACAAAACAAATCAACCCTCCCCCCTCCAAAACAAACCCTTCAAAGTTCTATGCTTAACAATTAAAATGTGCAATTTCTTTCATTTTTATTTTTTATTTTAAAGATGTAGGGTACAGTGTAGGGTTAGGTATACAAATGGTCATTGTACAGGTGAAGTTTGGGCCTCTCTCACATTTGTTTCTTTTTTTTTTTTTTGAGTTGGAGTCTCACTCTGTCGCCCAGACTGGAGTGCAGTGGCCGCTCCTGGCCACCGCAGCCTCGAGCTGCTGGGCTCTGGCGATCCTTCCGCCTCAGCCTTCCAAAGTAGCCGGAATTACAGGCATGCGCTACCACGCCCGGCTGATTTTTTGATTTATTGTAGAGATGAGGTCTCGCTGCCCAGGCGGGTCTCGAACCCAGGGCTCAGGCATTCCACTCACCTCAGCCTCCCAAAGGCACGGGATTACAGACTGAGCCACCGAGCCCGGCCCACATTTGTTTCTTTTCCTTTCTTTTTTGAACCTTTCCCTTGGTGGGGGAAGGTCGCTCTTTTTTTTCTTTCACATTTGTTTCTTATGCACATTTTAGTTTTTCATATTGGTAATAGCATCGTTACTTTCTGAAGTAATTTTTTTTTTTTTATAGTAGAAGTCTCACTCTGTCATCCAGTCTGGAATGCAGTGTCATACTCATGGC